GATTTCATAGACCTACAGGGAAAAGTGAGTTTTCAAATACTGTTACCAGCGATACTGAAGAACTACTGAACCAGAAGACATACTCGGAAAAACGCTCATAGTTCGGCATGGGGCAAATAGGGTGTGATTAGAGATGCAAAGCAGACGGGACATAATTCCCGCAGTGACTAAATAGGTCTTCGTTCTTTTAGACAACGATGTCCGACACTCGACACGCATCTCTAGTACAGAAATAGCGACTCTTTGGCCGTACATCTCGTTCAACGTTCCGGCAAAAATGTTCCCCGTGTAGGACACGAGCTCATCATTACGACATAAAAGTTACTTTTTTACAACTACTCTGTATTCTGAAGTCTTCCCTCTTAGTAGCACCTTGGTAACGCTGGAAAGACTTTCGGAAAGGTCACTTCAGGCAATTGTGGCAGAAAAGACAGCTTTCTCTGGAAGGGATATTTTGCCGGTTTGACCAAGAATCCATTATCTGTGGCAGAAAAGAAATAGTTTCGGAATTTTATAGTGTATCGAAAACATTGGGGAATATTTGCATTTTTCAGCTACGGACCATGTGTTAATTCCAAACTTCCTGCGGATTGGGACATAACAAATTTGGATGGCGTAAGCCTGGGAAATTTGCAGCTGACCATGCTTGCTTACCATTATCCTGCTGGGCCTGCGACGACTTAACAGTGAAACCACCCGTTAACTGCCTGCATAACATGTTTCGCCAGATTATTTTTACGCATGTCCTTAATTTCCTTCCGATATGTTTGACTTTTTTTAAAGCTTAGTGTGCAAACGTCAAGAAAATGGAACCAACAGAGAATTTCGTGCAGATGTTATTTGCTTCGTTGAGTGACGACGCTGTCAAACTGGCCGCATAATTGACAATTGTTTTGATTGCGGAATGATTTTTTGACATAATCTTCGAAACACGCCACCACAAAATAACGGCATAAAAATAAACACATTATACCGTAACAAAATTTTTGTTGTTGTTGGCATAAACTGTAACCTTGGTATAAAATACTTACAAAAATATCGTAGAAATTAGAATCTAGTGTTATGCAAGAATCAGCACCTATTTGTAGTGTGAGTATATAGTCAATTTGATCAAGTCGGCAAGACAGCGTTATACATTTCTTCCACCTGGGCTTGGGGAAGATGCAGCTCTTTGGCAATCTGCGCGGGCTTCTCGCCCTTTGCCTTGGCGGCTTGGACCTTCTTTAAGTTGGCCTTATATGCTGCCACTTGCTGGACTGTCTATATAGTCAGAAAACGGTTATTATAATAAAACAGCCGAAGCAGAATGTGACAAAAGTGTGTTTCGAAAAATTGTGGTAAATTTTAAATACGTATGCAGCCTTCGTTGCGACTGTGTATAATACACGTACTCGTACATAATATCACTGACACCGAGTGCCTGGCATAATATTGTAGCGATAGTATTTGTACGAACGATAAGACCACCCAGTTATGATTCATTCCATCGCGTTATGAATTGTGTCCACTTTACCGGCTAGTTTCCTTTCTCATGAATTTCTAGAATTCAGTCTGGACACTCGCTTGCTACAGCTTGCATCTACTTGTGTTTCTCTTGCCGAAACCCTTGCTTACAACCTTGCTCCGTTTCTTGAACGCCTTGTCATTAAACATGCCTTGAGTTCCGTTGTTGCGTTTGACCGCTTGGGATGAACTAGCGTCATCCCAATCGGAGCCACCTGTGTAATTGAGTAACATCAGCAGTAGCGTCTTCGGCCAGCATCGTTGCCGGCCGTGCTACCTTTCATCCTAACAGCCGACAGATCGTGGTACGGTGGATTAACCAACCCACTAGAACAGCAGCCAGATAGGCTGTTGTTACAATATTATAGAAGTATCGCATTTGATGCGGCAGGAACGCAAACGTTAATTAGTAATGATGAAGGATAGGTGAACGTTTACAAGTGCTCGCTTACTATATGGCTGCCTCCTGGTCCTCCAGGTGGGCCGTTGGGAGCATTGCTTCGGCGTCAGCGATCTGTAATGTAATAGATTAATAAATTTGTGATGTCTCTGTTTACTATTCACAATTCTTCAAGTACTATGCATAAGAAAGGAAATAAATCGACTAAAATAAAACACTAGACTATGGAAACTGATGTTGATTAGATAAACGCACCACAAGAGCCGCAACCACAATGAGAAGAACAAAGCATTTAAGCGATTCATGGTTTCCAGCTGAACTCAAACACCAATGAAAATTGTGAGAGAATTGTTACAGCAAACTGAAGAATAATTTTATAGTCAACATTGCAACAATGTTGCTGCTTTTATAGCAATGGCAATTATCGTTTGTTGCTGATTGTTTTGTTTTTGACCAGTTGCGGTTTCTTAGATTTGTGCACTACGAGAAATTTCCGAACGTTCCATTCATAACTCAGTACGACAGCCGTTGTTGTTTCACGGTAAAAATTGCTCGCAACTAGCTGTAACCGCAAAACCGGTTTCTGTAGAATGTCGAATAATATGCCACAGATGGTTCAGCGCGTGGCACCGCTCAGATTCATAATACACACTTCTACGTATTTTTTTTAACCGAGACAAAACAACAGAATGATTTAGCATCTGAACAACGATACCGCAAAACATACTTGCAAAATAACAAATATTTTCATGCACGCAACAAGTTCTAATTAACCACTGTGATTTGTGTTTAATGCAATGCTTCCTGTAACCGATAAATGGGGGATAGACAAGCCGATAAAAAACAGCGTAAGACAATCAAAATGCCTGTTAATGCCGGTAATATATTCCGGTATCGAGAAGAAACGAAATCGGGCGATTTACAAAATCATTCTCACACAATTCCGTGCTCGACTACAAAATGAGAAGCTATACATAATTAGACAGGCTGCTGTTTAAGACACAGAAAATTGTGCATCGTATAATTACAGCGTTGACAGAAAACCCAGTGTGGCATTCAATTTACTCCAGTTCGCAGAATAGAGTCCAGAACCTTAACTGCTGCGCAACTACGAGTAAATACTTGAAGCGTAAGATAGCTGCACTCTCTGCACCATACTGGAGACGAACGGGTGCACCTGAAATTGCTGTCCAGGTAGTCTCTGGTCCGCTGGAGCTTGGCATTTCTGTACAAACTGCTGCGCGGCGTCTGGGATTTCCGGAATACCGGTGACCCTGGAAATGGCCTTAAACTGCTTCAGCTTATACAGGTGGTTAATGAATTCCGTTTCATCTCTCTGAGGGGTCCTTCCAAAACGGTACTCGTGCTCTTGCTTATTTCCGTATTCCCAAACAGGTGGCACTCCCGTTTACATTTCGATAATAGTGCAGCCCAGACTAAACACGTCAACAAAGCTGATGTTTTTATACCAATGGCAGTTACCGGGTCCTTGTTATTTGTTTTGTCTTTTGGTCAGTCGCGCTTTCGCAAATTTTTTCTCTCCGAGAAATTGCCGAATGATCGCTTCATAACTCATGACAGTGGTTTTTGTTTGGCGAGTAAAAACTGCTCGCAAGCGGTTATAACAGCAGAACTGGTTTCTGTAGAACTCCCCCTAATATGCAACAGGTTATGGTCTACAGAATGATAAGACGTGATCGGACCGCTTAACATTTACTACTCGGGTAGTACACATTACTTTCCAAAGATAATAACAGAACGTAATAACAGAATGATTTAACATTCTAGCAACCCTGTCGCAAAATATAATTACATAAATGTTTTTGTTTATGCATCCAGTTATAAAATAGGTGTTCTTTATTACTTTTACGTCGCGACATAACAGTCACGAGTCAAATCACTACGCCAGCATTACCCACTCAAGAATTAAAAAACCGTAGATCGAACCAGTTATAATATATTATGCAATTTGATACTGCAGTTTATGTGCAAGTCAATGCTTCCTGTAACTAATCATTAGGTTGACTTCAATTTATTGACAATTTATCGACAAGTTTTGTTTAGTTTGACTGGTTTATTTCTAATGCATTCTGGAATGTAAACTACTGGCGTGTATTCGATCTACGGTTTTGAAAGGCATTGCGCAATCCTGCACAAAAAACGGACGGAATATCAAATATCGATTTAAATTTGAGGTATATTCGGTTAATATTAACAGATAATTCTAACTGCTGAGCCAGTGCATGGACATTGGCAATTTCCAACGACAGTATGTTTCCTGGATGCCAGATGCGGTATCAGTTCAGGAAGAAATGCGGCATCGTAACGTAAAAGTCAATAATTTGTGTGAAACGTGTGTGCTACATTTTGCAAAACATACAGCTGGCACAAAGTCCAGACCGAGTTGCTTAAGTGTAAAACTGATGAAACACAAAATTACTTAATACAACGTGCATGGGGGTTTTGCACTAGCATTGACGACAAAAACGAAGCAGGAAGTTGCATTAAGTTGCTGTACGATAGGCTTATTGTCATAAATCAGCGGACAAGAAAACTTGTTTATTAATACGGGTGCCGGCGCATTCATACAAAATACAGCAGTACAGATAGCAATCCCCTTTTTCTTGACATACGAAATCGACTGAAGTGGGCGGACGGGTGGCTGGCACTAAAGTTCGCCTGGGTAATCAGGAGCCAGATTGGCTCCCATGCAAACCTGCAGTCCAAACGACGTTGATTGTTTGATACGTCAGCAAACAGACATCAAAGGGGTCAAAATATTAAAGCCTACAACTTAGTAACTTACCAAGCCTTCTTAACAGCTTGGAAGTTTTTCTGTAACATTGCCAGTATTCAGGAAGTACCTAACGAATTAATTAAAGCACGTATGCTGCCAGGAAGTACGTAACGAACCAGCGAATGGAAAAAAAGAAAGCGACACTTCGAGAGAATCTTTTCTACGTGGGTTGGAGAACAGAAAACGTCCCGGACGCTGCTTTGATAATTATTATGATATACGCCTATGCACAGTGCCACGGAACGAGAAACCTTCAAACTGACAGGCCAATTTTATTGGATGTACAGTATGCATATCTAGTCGACTATAGTACTTTATTGGCAATAGCCACCCAAATAACAAAAGATGCATGCGCTGACACCCTACTTAATCGTCAGAATTTAAACATTAAATAAACAACCAAATTCCCGGTCCTCCCTCAGGTTAAAAGGTAACGTACTCAAAACAGCCGTAGCATTTCCTTTGACAACAGCAAGGCTGAATCGCTGCTTAAGGAAAGCAGTAGAACGCGCTTCTCCTGTCAAATCCCGAATTTTACGACCCATAAAATGTAAAAATTCACTTAAAGCCGGACCAAATACTCCAAGGGTCTCCATTACTAGAGGGTAGAAAAGGTATCCGTATTCCAAAAACGAATACTTTCCACGTTTCGCATTTTCAGCCAGCTGGGCTACGCTGCCACATTTCTTGGAGCTTCCAGTGACATGAGAGTCAGCAACCGTACACCAGCTGGTTACATCCCAAACGATCGGTTTTCCTTGTCTAACTGGTATCAGTGTCATCCCGTCCGGTCTCTTTGCGGTGGTTGATGACAAGCCGTTCGGTTCCATCTCACAAGGAAAACCAGCGCTTTCACAACAGTTTCACAACAGTCGACTATATACCCGACGCGCGTACGTAAACCCGACAAAAACATCCATAAATTTATGATAAAAAAGCCATGGTCAGCTTTCAATAACTATGCATGTTTTTAACATAAGCTACCCCCTGATGGGTTTGTAGTTAACAGTGGAACTGCTAAGAATAACAATAAGAACTCTTTGTTTACTGACGATGAATGAATCTGTGTGCGCTAAACAAGAGATATTCAATACAGCAGTCTAAAAAAGTCATTCCCAGTCATTCCCGTTCTTAGAATGAAACGATAAATTCATATCAGATTCTGCTGACGTAAAGTTTCAGTCACTGTCAGCCAACGATTAGGTGCCAGATGATACCGTCGCTTGTAAAGCATCGATGTGGCGTGCGGTGTTTTCAAAATTAATATGTTGCAGATTGGTTTCTTCCGGGAAGCGGCGTGTTCAGTTTCCAATGGAATCAATCTACTGACCGTAGCGTACAGTAAATCACATTTGCAGTCCCGTAATTAGTGTATGATTTTCTAGTTGTTTGCATGTCGGTCTGTCAGCCGGCAATCGCATTAGGCATGCCGCAACAAAATCGGAGGCGCTGGGAAATTGCTCCAGAAAACTGGCATCCGGTTGGGCTTCACATCTCAGTAACGTGCCCAGATTAACAAGGAAATCCGTTAAAGTACGTTCTACCCTGAAGTTATACTGCATCATCTGGCCGTCCTGCTCGTATACCCAGCACGGTGGACGGCGTTCTACCATCTCAATGATGGTGCAGCCGAGGCTGAAAATATCCGTCGCTGTGTCCACTGGAATTGTCGAACTGTCCGCACCGAACACCAACTGCTGCATTTCCGGTGAAGCAAACTGTGACGAACCTTCGGGGATCGCTATATTATATCCTGATTCCCGATTACAACGTGAAGCTTTTTCAAAGTGGGCATTTTCAGTGTGAAGTTTGTAGTTCCTTCTGTTTGGTGTCTTTGCACAAGGATATTCGAGCACCGGATATCCTTATGCACGATACCGTATTCGTGTATCATGCGCAGACCGCTTACAATCTGTTTCGTGAATGTCGGTACCAACGTTATCCGGAACTCTCTGGTCACTAACATCGCGGATAACGGATGAAAGTCCCCTGAAAAGAAATCGAGGGTTCTTGTACAGATGCTTTTATTTTAGTTCGGTTCACAAAGAATACTCGTATCTTCACAAGAAATCTTCGCTTACTCTCGCTTTCGGTAAGAATGACCAGCTCCTCAATGGGGTCTAAGTAAACCGGTTTAAGATGCTTAAGGATATGCTTCGTCTTTGATGTGATCCCGGCCAGTACCTCAGCAACATCCTGCTTATCCTTAATCATTTCTAACCGTTGCGCGTCTAGCGACGAAACAATGCAGGCAGAGGCGTCTTTAGCTCCTTCAAAGTTATCAGGATGAATGAGTTTGCCTTCCAACGCTTTCAGTTTATTCTGCTTTTCTTGGGGATCCTCTAATACTATGCTTCTGTTGCCGAAACTGTTGTGCAGAGGAATGTCTTCTGCATATCTCTCCTCTGCCGTGCGTTTTTGCATATTATAACGGGCGAGCTCCAAATTCTGATGCTCCATGCTGTTTAGCATAATTCCCCAAGAACCGGAGGTACGTTCTGCTATACTATCCATTTTCTCCCGTGTGCAAAATCACTTCCGAAAACGGTTTTTCGAAAAATTTATATTATGGCTGTCGGTGTGCGTTATCCAGGAGCAATAGTCCATATGTACAGCTGATTCAGATACATTTCAGCTCTGAAATATTTCTAAACAAGAAAGCTTCAGACAATAACAACACTATTTTTTGTCCAAATTATGATATCACTATCTGTACCAGCCTAAACTAAGCGATAAAAAAACTAATATACCTCGTACATTTATATATTCCTATCGTCCAAATATGCACTTGTATGATTACCGTACAAAAGGGGTATGTAGAAGCTGATAAATATCGTTATTATTCAGTTTACCAAACCCATCTCATGACTAAAGTAGCGTATATCGCTTTTCGAAATCATAAATGCAGCACAAACTGACAGCACAATCAGCACATGCAGTAAATTTTCGTAGTGCCGCGCGCAGTGAATGTTTGTACGGCCAGTGCGTTAACTGCCAAGTAAGCAACACGCAGAACTCTTGTTGAACGAGTACTCACAGTCACATTCAATAAATATCATAACCTCTGACCTGGACGCGCTAAAAGAATGCAGCTGTACTCAAGCCCCGAGCGATACAGCGGCGCCGCGAACGGTGCATTTAAACAGTCATGTATTAGCAAGCACAGTTGTACGAACCGGCAACGGCGGTACTTCACAAATTATTCACATAGAGCCTAATAATTATACTTGTACCGTGTACATGATTATACGCTCAGCCAGTGCCACCACTATTATTAAAGCTCAGGAAGTTTATCGGTTTATCGGGCTTGGTAAACATTCTCTGTATTTACTATCGATAAGGCTGCATTGGAACAGATCTCGTACTGCCATACCAGTACGAACCATACTGCCCAACACCGACGGATACAATCATATAAACAGGAAGCGGAAACACAGTCACAGGCTGTTTTCTCGTCCCATTCGTGGAACTAAGCGTTCCTACCATCAGCTGCAAGGAGTGTCACGCTGTAATCTAACATTGCTCCTTGATCCCATTTCCCAGTATGTTGACATCCTGTTGGAATCACTAAGCGGTGAATCACGATGGCAGAAGGTGGTTTAATCTTTTATTGCACGCCTTTGATTCGTCATTAGTTTTTACGGAAAATGCCATTTTAGCATTAAAGCCAAAATAGCCATGGCCTTAAGGCAGTAAAATATCGTAAAGATTAGCGATACCCATTGGGTTTTGTGTATCACATCCGTAATATTAGGCTGCAGTATTTGCAGATTTGATTCGAGTATGGGATAGTTTTGAGTTCCTTCAATTATGCGTAAACAATAATTTTAATAGACTCGCGCACGCTTGTTAAAAAAAGTTCTTCTATTTCTGTGAAATCGTTCGAAAATTATTTGGTTTTTAGACGACCAACTGCAAACCACCCGTCAGAAGCTTTGCGCTATACTGAAAGCTGCAAGCGCAAAGCCACCGTGCTACGGAGGAATCTTTTGGGATAATGTCAAGTTCAACGGGAGCTTAAAAGTTACTCTCGGCGAAGAGAAGGATTTAAAGGCGCTGTGGACGAAATGGACCGACGACGGCTCACCCAATGTGGCGTGCATCCCGCCGGAAGGCGTTGCAGCTTTACCGGAATTAGCCGACGACACCAGCAAAGTTGATGCGTGGGCGCTCGGCTGCTTGGCCATTCAGCTTATCAACTTTGGTCGACCACTAACACTACTGCGGGACGGGCGGCTCAAACGCGGTGTCCAATATTTGCCACTGAAAAAATCTCTGCTACCGGAGCTGAAGGCATTATATAAAGACGCCGGTAAGCAAAAAGGACTCGTTATCGGGCCGGAGATCAGTCTAGTGGGAACAATTCCATGCGCATGCGAGGACTTTCTTGGCCACTGCTTGGAGCTGAATCCAGAGAAGCGATGGAGTTTAGAGCAGCTGAGCGATCACCCGTTCCTAGATCTTACGAAATCATGAGAGGCCCTGTTTGCCATGGATGCAACGCATTACCACCAGACGTTGCCCTTTAAAGAGCCAGTTATTATAACTAACACTCAAAACCATCCGTTTCTTAGAAGCAATGATACGCATATGCCCCATGAGCAGGGCGAAATGAGATATCAAGATTCTCCTAACCGTGAACCGATATATGTGGATATCTGGCGCTTTCGAGTAGAACGCACTGAAGCGAGAGACACGAAGGCGGAGCGTGATTTGCTGACAAAATCCTTTGGTAAAGTAATTGATGCACTGGATATGGAAGCCAGTGCAGATGAGCAAACACGGAAATGGGCCGAAGTTTACAAGATACGTGCACTGCAGGAAGGGAATAACAATATTGTCAAGCATTACGGGTGTGATTTTCTGTATGAACAAAATGCCCGGTTGCCGGTGGAATTTCAAGTTATTACAGAGCACTGTCCAGGTACGGTGCGCACAGGAAATCGCTACAAGCAGATGGCGAGGTTTTCCATTCCAGTACGATGAATTAGCAACGATATTGCATACGTAAGCATATTCCAGTTCCGTTAAATTCAAATTTCATTTACGGAAGTATTTGAATTATGGAAATTACTGGCGCCAGTTATTGAGCGGATCAATATGTGACAACTGCTTTGTAGGAGGCTCACTGAAGGGCGTTGCTGGCCTTCGACTGCCTGTTCGTTTTGTCGCCAAATTCGTACACGAACTGCTTCAAGGACTGGGTTACCTGCATGCTCACCGCATCGTTCATCGTAACCTTGACAGCGGCGTCATCTTCTTCAGTAAAACGGGATTCACGGGTACCATCAAAATCGGCGGTTTCCAGCATATGCGGCAGTTGGGAGCTGATCTGACTGAGCAACATGAACTCACCGCTCGACCAGGTGAGGATGGACGGTTTGCGGCACCGGAAATGGTTAGTTTCGAAAAAGAAGGTCCACACGTGGGTAGAAAATGTGACATTTGGAGTCTGGGATGCGTCCTACTGCATCTGATTACCGGCGCGCCACCGCTCTATACAGGCGCAAAAAATGACCCCGTGATATTGGAAATGGCGGTTCTATATCATCTGAACAGCGCGAACAGGAAGCTGCCTCGTATTTACGATTGGATACCGTCAAATATCCAGGAATTCATTACAACCTGCTTGCAGTTTGATCCTCTGGAGCGACCATCTGCGGCCAAGCTTCTTCAGGATATGGAAAGCGGAAGTCTGCCGATAACTGGACCGGATACTGCCGAATATCTTGCTAATCGTAGGGGTGGGCACCTTCGCGGTGATGTCGCGGAGTACTGGAGCAACTACGCTTGATAAATGCACCTTTTTTGTTTTTTGCTCATTTTGTTTGCACAATGTTTGTCAGTACAAAAATTATGCCAACCGCTTTCATACGAATGTGATGTCTGCTGCATTTTTTAGGTTTTAGAAGTCATCGATCGCCATTATAATCTGTCAGCGAAAATTTGTCCAAAAGCAGAATTATCAACGCAACAGCCTTTCGTGAGGTTTCGTATCATTTTCGCGTGATACCCAAATAAAACGCACTTTTCGTATTTTAAAAATCGTTTTCGTTTTTATGGCGCTCTTTTCAACACGAAAATGTTACGAAAAGTCCGACCGATGGGTCATGAGCAACGACAAGTATTAATACTGTACAGTTATACTATATCGGGGATACAGTATAATACTTTCGCGCGTGCTTTGCCGCAAACATTACAGACCTAATTATAATAACGATGTATCGAAGCGGACAGCGTGCAAATTGGATTTACAAGCGTCTGCCGAAGGGCTCCATGCATAGACTCAGTCCACAATTCCCGCACGTATTAAAGAGTACACACGCATTTGCATAGCCATTTTCGCCTGCCTGTTCATTTTCCGCAGTTTTTTCTGTAGCGGCTTTCTAAAGCGTTACTCTTTGGGCAGCAGCCACTAAAAGGCCAGATAACTTAAATGCGATAATAAACTGAAACTGAACTTTAATCAAAATAGCCGTATAACATAATTATTTAGTCCGCTTTAACAGATGGTTCGCTCAGTTCCGTCTGAAAAAACACCACCAATCGAAATCATTGGCAAGTGGAGTCCGAAGGCACTGCAAGACCTTTATCATCCCCATCGTTCATTGCAGCATCAGGTTTTTGGTTATCTTTTTTGCCGCTGATAAACGGATGCCATTTTAACAGTTCACATGATGGTCGTTTGCTAGATGGCGCAAAACAAACCCGCACGAAGTCTTGGGCCTTCTTGGCAACATGCGGTTCTTTTAGGTCGAAAATAGAACTGACATCCGGCATGGCATTGTAGTGCCACAGTTTAAATAAATTCCGAATGAATTCCCCTTCTGTTCTGTCGCCCTCCGAAAAGTCGTACGGTCTCGAATCTCCATTCTCTTCGTACACCCATTTTGGTACCTTTCGTGTATACATTTCTATCACCGTACAACCCAAACTGAAAACATCTGTTGCCGGTCCAACCGTAACCGTCCCCCGACTGTCATCGAAAGCTAAGAGCTCCTACATTTCTTTCGATGAAAATTGCGACGAACCTTCGGGATATTTTATCGACGTACCCAGAGTAGAGTCCCAGCGATGATACGACGCCTTCTCGAAATGGGTAATCTTTACGATGTTATGACATTTGTCACTCTCGTCCACGCAGATATTGCTGCAGCGGATATCCTTATGAATAATGCCATATTGGTGTAACACGGAGAGTCCCTCTAATATCTGTCCAGTGAAATCAGGAATCATTGCAGGTACAAATCGGGGATTCGTTATCAGTTTCGACAAAAGCGTGTAGCAGCCTACAAAGTCAACGCATACAAAATTTACGTATCGACGGAGGTTTACTGGTGTTAAAAAAGTCGCAGTGCCGACAGTTGCATACCACTTATAAATAACAATTTTCAGCGCTCAGTTTTAACGCCGAAGATTGCCTTCGACACTCTCGAGTAACCGGCAAGTCCAGCAGGGCCTTACAGAGTGCGAGTAGCTTGCCACTGGCTTTCCTAAATATCGTACACTGCATGTCTTGCGCAATACATACTCTTTTGTCTTGCCAGAGTGTAATTATGCTCTAGGCTGTCATCATTATTTTGCAACTAATAAAACTTTAAATTTATGTGCAATCTTTTTTGTTTATAAATTCAAATTTGCTTGAATATTATTCAGTTGCATTATGCAGTCTATAAAACCCGGTTAGAAAAATAAATTAATCGCTGTTTTTTTCTGCACTAGATTTTTTGTGACGGGGTGACAGCTCCTCCCATCTACGTACTGTAGGTGAGTTCAATTTTAAGTAAAACGAATTAAAAAATTGTTTATTCAGTTATAAATGTTTGCCTCTTGTGACAAATTTTTGTTGACAAAATATAATGCTCCGAGACATTTCGGGCGTACTGCGAAACTGTATTGTCTGAGCACAGTTCCGGCCGAACATTCTGTGTCTGTCGGCGGCAGGCATAAAAGAAAGATTTCGTTTTTTGACTGACGCAGCTGTGCCCTACAATGTACCTTACTACCTACAACCCTCATCTTGCTGTCTTTGCTTACCTAAATCAGATTTTAACACCATGACATGCAGCAAGCGACAGCAGAACAGCTAACAGGTAGGCCAGAATATTACACCATGTTCTTACTTTCGCTTTCTGTGAAGATTCGTAGCTCAGTTGTGGGATCCTCCGGCTTCACCGCATAGCGATGCATAATATGTTTTGTCTGAGGCCCAATCTTTTTAATCAGGATTTTGAATACTTTATATTTATTTTCCAGTAACGCTTGCTGCTGGGTCTGATCTTCCTTAGCCGGCGATATAATCGAAGCCGAACCCGGTTGTTTTCTGTTTGCAATCATTTCAGGAAGCGTCACTTTTTTAAGTAGCTCATCGATATTAGCGTCTTTCCAGTGGCGAGTTATCGATCGGCTAGCCGACACTACAGGCAGCGGTTGGATTGGTTCATTCGTTGCCCGTTCCAGATTGTAACGCTCCACCTTAAACCGTTGCTTTTCAATCTGTGGTTTACCAGGATTAATTTTGCAGAACAGAAAATAGTATGACTCCTGGATAAGATGGACCAGTTGGGCAGCAGGAAACCGCCTGTCCGGGTCCGTAGCCAAGCAGCCAACAACGACTGGCTTAAGCAAACTTGCTTTGCCCAGTGTAAAGCGTGGTCTGCATCCCATCTTGAACAAACAATGCATTTCTTTGAAGTTCAACGGGCGTTGCGGTTCCCGCGCGTCCCTCCTTTCGTTCTCGCCATCGGTAAAAAGAGGAGGTTGACCTTGGTTTAATATTTGTACCATAACGCAGCCCAGACTCCAGATATCGGTCTTCCGACCAACGTGAGTTGCGTGGTTGGGTGAGAAAACCGACAGTGCTGCCATTTCGGGTGACACAAACGGTACCGTGCCCGTTGCGTTTTCGACAAAGCGTGGCGGTGTGGATGATCCACTAAAATGCTTGGCCACGGTTAGGCCGGTGATCTTCAAAGTTTTTCCATTGGGTGAGACGATAATGTTCGCTCCTCTGATATCCTGATGAATGATCTGGTTGTCGTGAAGAAACTGCAGACCCTCCAGTATTTGTGCCGCGTATCGGACAACTGCGTATTCTGTCGGTGCTCGGCCTGATTGGCGCATAAACTCGTCCAGGGGCACACCTAAAAACTGCAGCATTTAGAACCTAAGACAGTTTTTAGTTTATACCAGCTAAAATTGGTATTAGGCACTTATGAACGATCGTTTAAATTGGTACATTCGGACTTCAGATTGGTCTGTTCAAGAAAAAGAAGCTACAACGTGCGTACGGAGAACGTAAGTCTGTATATAAGGGCCTATAATTTGTTTCGGAACTTTGCCGACGCTCTCTGCCGGACCGACCAACAACGGCCTCGTCAGCATTTTAGTATGTTTTTAACAAGATTTTTTAACTGCAGAAAATGCAATTGCATTCTATCTGTAGCCTCTAGTGCCAAAAAAACACTGCTTCTGGTCTGGCAAACAACGCGTGCGTAGTACCAAATGGTATTAATTTTGTATTGGGTAGATTGGCATAATGTGCCAAATTCATCCACCAGCACGGAAAAATCCGTTCGCTTTCCCGCATTCCCAAGCACAGTTCTTTGCATTGTTTTATGCCATTGAGTGTCCAGAGATTGCGTACCGTGCGGTGGACCAAAATGACGCGGGCAGAGCGAACTCCTCTTATGACCATAATACGGATTGTATGTACATTGTTTGAAATCGTTTACCTTTGCACTCCTCCGTTAGAATATAACTTGCACCAGAAAATCCCGCCGTCCCCGCCCTGAATCTAACGCCGTAATACTTCTGAACATGCTCGTTTCCGTCCTTCGATGAATTTACCAAAGGTTGCAACAGCCTTCTTAATTCCTTCATTTCATTTCTTGCATCGGCACGCTGCGATGGTATTACCGTGACTTCTGCCGCCGTAGGCAACGGAAGCTCTTGCGTAAGATTTTCAAACCCGGAAACTGCAAAATAGGCATCCGCTACAGGACCGCACAGCGGTAATTCATTTTCGTCTATTCTCCTTGAGATTTCCGCTTCCACATCCTTAAAAACTGCAACGCGGTACGTTATGGAACTTCCCGTACTACGCTTGCGTTGGAAATCCCCAGCGTAAATATTTGCCATTGCTTGCTGGTAAATTTGATCTTATTTTACTTCAGCATGCGTACAGTGCAAATCGTAGTACATCTATAGAATTCTGTGCGCATTATTGTGTACAATTAGTATGTGAGCCATGGCTGCACTCACGTACACCCTCACGCCTGTGGCGTTAAGCGGATGACGTGTCTGTGTTGTGTCTCTTCTGATTGGTTGTATGTGCCTTGTGTGGGCGCGCCTATGTGCGCTGCGATGAGCATGGATTTGGCTCTTCGCTTGGCAGATTTGCCAGTTGTTCATGGAGTTGTTCAGTTAGTCGAGTGAGAATCTGGATTTCACTCAATAAAGTGTGTTCATGCTAGTGGATGCCGTGCGTTGTGCATTTATCCAGTACTGATAGCATTTCACACAACGCAGGATCCTGTCAGTGAGGATCTCTGTCCTGAGCTCTTCCAGAGCCTCACATTATATGGTAGCAGAGCCCGTAATCTGCGGTGCTCGAGTTTAATCTGTTGGCGAACGGCCATATTAATCTGTTGGCGAACGGCCATATTAATCTGTTTGGCGGACGGCCACGTGGAATCTGGATCGATCGATATTGATCGACTACACCAGTAAGGCACTGGTTTTCCTCATCTCAGCAAGGCGCATCTCAACGGATTGCCAGCAGGAGCGGCAACACTGAGTCAAGTATCTCCTGTGGAGAACTTGTCTCGTGTTTTTATCGAGTCAGACGGCAGCTGGCCGCGGTGCAGGTCTCTCCTGTGGAGAACTTGTGCTGTTTCCACTGCTAAGCAGCGAGATCCTCTGTAGAGGACGAGGCTGCTGGGCACAGGCGCCGAGAAGCCACGAAGGTTGGCAGCACCGAAGGAGGTGCCAAAGAGTTCAGTTAACGCGCTCCACCAAATTGGCTGTAGAGCGACCTGCTGGTAGGCCTGACAAGCCCAGCAGAAGGCAGACTAGGTCGGAACAGGAAGGCGCCAAAACCGTGCGGAATACGGCTGCGCGGGATCGGATCGTGGAGAAGAAAACGCGATCATCTGGATCATTTTTGGCGGAAATCGGATCGGTAACCAGGTAAAAACCAGTTATTTATTATCGGATTGGTTAGCGCGTAGAAAGCGCAATTTTCATTGGTCGATACTGAGCTGAGACAGACGTAGGCGGAACTTTTGCACTCGGCGCGCAAGTCTGGCCGTCGATCTGTGACGTCACGTAGGTCAGAAATCTTAGTGAGTTGACGTGATTGGTCAATTATATGAGCTGTGATTGGTCGAAATTTTTACCGGTAAAACTGAGCTAAACGATCTCGTAATGAGCTAATAAGCATCATAATTGATCTTTTCTCAGCATAATCGATCTGATATGAGCTAGTAGGAGCTGTTTTTGACAAAAATAAGTTGAGAAAAAAGTTAATGACCTACACAGATGAGTTGTGATGATCTTATTTGATCTGATATATGAACTTTTCCATCGAAATCGATCTTTTATGAGCTAAAACGAGCTGATTCTAATTGAAACGAGCTGAGTAACAGGTGATCTGAGCTGAGCTGAGATCGATCAGCTGATCTGAAAACAAACTCGAAACGAACTTTTAGCAGCTCAGTTGACATCCGTAGTTGATCACCAGCGACTCCGAGGCGAGCTTACTGAACTTTTTATTGAAAAAGTGATCCTCTAAAACGAACCGAGCTCATTTCCTGAGCTGATAAAGTGAACTATAAGGATCATAACGATCATACTATAACGTGTGTGTGAGTAAAACTGACAGGTGCGTCCAGTTATCCGATCATCACAATGGACAAAGAGATCGCTGAACCGACATCTAACAGCAGTCAGGGGAGCCGAGGCTCTCACGGATCTCAGCAAGGCGCACCTAATCCGTATAAAAGGATCTGAAACCATACACACGTCCAGAGTCACATGACGACAGGCACGGGCACCTAAAGCCTTTGAGAGGAAGGACTCTCGAGGCTCGGATGCGACCTACCAAAAGGCACTCGAAGCCGTGTCAGGTCAGGAGAGCTCCAGCGAGGACCGGAAACGATCTCCCATGTCGGCGCCGGGAAGCAGTGAGGTGAACCAGCAGGTCACCAAAGAAGGAACGAGCTCACAACGAGCTAAGGAGATGGATACGACATCACAAAAGGATGTCAAGATCAGCCCTGTCACATCGGAGCAGGCCAAAGATGCCGAACCGGACCTCGTTGAACAGTCACAAGATGAGAAGCTTGATGAGCTGAAGCTGGGCGATATCTCACTTGACGATGACGTCACAGTGGAAGATCTGTCCGAGAGTCCCATGCAGTACGAAGAGATGATGCGAAGTCACAAGTTCAGCAATGAAGAATCGTACCTCACCGATGATGATGTGACGATGAACACGTCATTTAGGACAGCGATGAAAGATGCCGATCGAGCTGAAGGGGTGACAGCGTTCAGTGATATACCTGAACACCTAATCGAACGAACCCAGACAGGGAAGATCATCAATGTCCGGTCTCCATCTCCGAACAGCCCTACCTCAAATCTGAAGAGGCAGATCAGGGAGTTACAAACGTCACTGGAAGACAAAGAATGCCAGCTCCTGCAGAAGAAACAGGAATATCAGAAGAGGATAAGCTCACTCGAAACTCATGTATATGAGATGGAGCAACAGCAGGGCATTCTGGAAAATGCGGCGACGGAATGGAAAATCAGATATGAACGTCAGAAGGAGATCGCTGAAGAGGCCCAAAAGGTTGCTGATGATAAGGAAGTTGAAAAGTTCATCGCCGTAGATGAGCTCAATGAGAGCATGTCCGAAGAGACAGCTGAAAAGTCAAGGCAACTAGCTGAATTGAAGGATCAGTGTGACGAGCTTCGCAAGAAGGCAAACGAAGCTGAAGTCAAACGTAATGATTATGCAACTAAGTTAGCTGAGGCCACACAACGATTGGCAACGATGTCAACAGATATGCTAAAGCTAAGAAACGATCTGAAGCAGAAGGAGGAGAATATTGGCATCCTCCAAAAGGAATCGCAAGCTCATCAGAAACGAGCTGATGAAGCGCTCCAGGTGGCGAAGGAGCTCACCGAGTTGGGAGCGACTGAAGGTGAACGACTCAAGGCAGGAATTAAAGAAGTTAACGAAGAAAACATGAATCTAACGGAACAGATTAAGAAGCTAACAGAGGAAAGTCAAAAGTGGCAGGCTCAAGCATACCGGCTGGACACAATGGTCACAGCTCTTGAGATAGCTGACAAAGAAAACCAACGAAAGGTCCATGAGCAGCTCGAAGAGAACATCAGGCTCAATACGGAGCTGACCGCAATGGCGACCACGGCAATGTTGAGAGAAGATGAAGCCACGGAAGTAAAAAACCAGCTGATATCGGCGGGGCAGGCATACACAGAGCTGGAGCAGCAGGTGAATCAGCTTGCCGAACGAATGATCACACTAAAGGAAGAGACACATAAAGAGATGGACAATCGAACCATCAAACTCCAGAATGATATGCTGAAAATCAGGCAGGACAACGATCGATTAAGGAAGGAAAGAGACGATCTCTCCTTGAGAAACAGACGCCTAGAAGACGAAAACAAAGGTCTTCAGATGACGAATAAACATAAGGATGAACAGCTCCTTCAGTTCAGTACGAAGAAGGATACCAAGGAATCCCCTCCGCCCAGTTACAGTAAGGCACATGGAACTGGCGGGAGTGCTCACTTTGAGATGCCGCTACGAACGGGTGGCGGCAGAAGTGATTTCAAAACAGAAAAAGATGATGAAACCTCAGATAAACGGAACCCGTCGAGCAGTCACCAACCACATATGAGCTCAGGTGACCCGTCGCAACCTCAACCGACCGAAACAGCAATCAAAGATGATGCGAACCGAGATGTGCGCTCCCCCCGACACGAACATGATGGGAGATATTTCAGAGAATATCGAAACGAACGCAACGAAAGGAACGAGCGAAATCAACAAGAAGACCGAAACGAAGATCGCGGCCAGAGGGAATTCAACAGAGCCATTAAGAACATGGGCCGAAAAACAGACCTCGCGACTTTTGACGGTAACCGAGATGCGGTGAATGGATGGATTCGCATTGTGAAAGAGACACAGCGCACATATGATCTGACCGATGAGCAGATCATGATCGACATAGCCAGTGCTGTGAGAGGACCAGCCAAGATCTGGTTTGACAGTGAAAGCGACATCAAAGAAGCTGAAGAAGAAGTCTACACAGTCACCGAGTGGCTCAATAAATTCAAGGATGAGTACGGTGATCGAAATGAGGAAGTCCTCGGCCTACGCGAAGCCATGGCTAGGAAGTTCAAACCCGGAAAGGAGACGCTTGAGCAGTTTTACCAAGTGACGGAGAGACGAGTACGATAGAAATAATATCGCAATATCTTCCTACCGACCTGACTCAACGACAGAGAATGAGCTGATAATCTCAATGTGGCATAACTAAGAAATATGCATACGCTACGATCTACGCGAAGCGAGAATATGACACTGCATTCCGACGATATATTTTAATGGAAAACTCCGACACTGCCAAACCCAGAATGAGAACGAACTGATCATGCCAAATACTGTAACTCTCGGACTTATATAAATAGGCGCGAAGCGCATCCGGTTAGAAAAGCCAAAAAGTATATCCGAAGACAAAAGGAAAATGCTAGAAAAGTACAAACATGTACGAGTACTGATGGAAAACGTACTGTACTAAGCCGCTACGTACACCATATTCCGTCACCCCCGCAAACGGCTTTTGGGGAACCCAACACAAAAAGAAACGAAAAGAACATGAAAAAAAACAGGAAAATAAAAAACTAAATAAAAATGAGTTCTCACGCTCTCGACTGGGCAAGGCGGGCAAAATCCATCCTCCGTCCAAGAATGACATTACTGATCCTCCTCCACGGGTGACAATGTGAGATGGAAAGTGAGGAGAGGATCCTTGACGGGGTGGAAGTGAGAGTTGGCAGGAGAAAGTGAGTTGGTTGGCAAACGGCAGTCGGAGAAAACACAAACAGGAAAATCGTCGGAAAAATCAAACACGGAATTTCAGTGGCAAAAGTCAAATTAAATTAAGGGTAAATCGCCGATGAAAATCACAAGAAAAACATCCGCGATAAACATGAGAATAAAAATAAAACGCCACTTCCATACTGATGAATGTTGTCAGCAAAATTCATGAAAATCACAAGGGAAAACTGAGCAAAATCCACTCGGAGATCAGCAGGGAATTAGTAATCAGAATGAGAATTTCAGCGAGCTCCAAAGCTAAACAGCCCTGAATGTGTCTGTTCGGAACCTGTCGACTGCGGAGCATTCTTGTTAGCATCCAAAGCCATCTGCTGACGAAGCTGCTGCTGTCGTTCGCGTTCCTTCTCCGCATCACTCTGCACAGCTGAGGCACCTTGCTGGCCAGTGGGAACTGTAGACGAACTGGCAGAATTCTGAGGAGGTGCTGAATTGTTTCCTCCACCAGCAGTCATATCAACGTCACCATCACGCACAACATTGCCAGCACTACCACTCTGTCCATTCTGTGGATCAGCAGCAAGATCTCGGCCAGCTCGACGCCAATTGTCCGTGGGAACAGGGGCATTATTTTCAGCATTAGCTCCACCACGTCCACGAGATTCACCACCGCGGTTCCGACCAGCAAAGCGTCCGCGACGACGACCATAACCACTCCGCTGCGTCTGAAAACCTGCAGCCATCAGTGTAGTACTGTACAGGCCCTGCAGTAACTGATTCCGATAGTGTGCACGGGCACGGCCGCCACGTCCACGATTAAAATACGGAGGCATTACAATGCAGATTCCAAATTCACCAAACAAACTGAGATTCACCGAGACAGATCAATCCACACAGAGAAAAGTGAAGAACCCAAAATAAATTCAAAAACGAGCAGCTGCAAATTGTTAAAATGCGGTGTTTCAACCCAGTGCTGCAGCATACAGATACTGTATTAACCTGCCATCTCGCGGCGGTTACAACAGTTCCCAGGGATTTCGGGGATTCACTGCTTATTAATCAGCCTGTCCGGCTGTTTAACGTTTCTGCCATATCGAGTTCTCACAGGAACGACGGGAACATCCTGAACTTCCGGCTCAGGCAGTTCTGGCCTGACGGGAAATTCCTCGATTTCATCTTCAAGTTCTTTTTCCACAGGCTTAAGCGGCTTATGACTTGCGCTCATATCTTCGATATCAGTCAACTCCGGCTCATCCGGTTTTCGCATGTTATACGGTCGCATCTGCGATACATGCACAACATCCATTTTCACGGCACCTCTTTTATTACACTGTACTCGGTAGTGGATGCTTGACAACTTCGCTTTAACTTCATAACCTGTGCGCCAAAGGCCTTCAAAGGCTTTATGTTTTCCTTTCGAACGCGCCATTGCTCGCACCATAACTTGATCGCCAACTTCATATTCAACTTCTCGTGCGCCAGCATCATACCGGATCTTATCTTTTAAACGCTGCTGTGTTTCTTCCGTCCGCACTTGATCCAGTGCGTCTGACAGAGTCAACTGCAAATGTTGTACAAACAAATGCGCTGGTATCGGAAAGTCTTCGTCGCCGTCGAACTTCGGAATGAAGTTATCTTGCGGCAAACGCAAGTCTTCCCCGTACATTAATTTCGCAGGTGTAAAACCACCAATGCGTTTAACCGGCTTCGTGTTAAATGCGAAACAGATAGCAGGGAGATACACATCCCAGTCAGTCTGCTCATCATTTATGTATTTGGATATCGCTTTCTTAAATTCGCCAACACGTTTCTCTGCTAACCCGTTTCCCATATTATGGTAAGCAACTACCGGCACGTGTGCAATTCCCATAACCGCGGATAGCTCACCGAACATGTCCGACATGAAGTTGGACCCTCTGTCCGACGTAAGATTTTTCGGAACACCAAACGGCATAATGATTTTTTCAAACACGAACTGTGCTAGCGTAGCACTGTCGTTCGCTTCTACCGCTTGTGCGACAACCCACTTTGATCCATAATCGACACCAATCATAATGTGCTTTTTACCATTTTTTGTTAACGGTAAACTGCTAGCAACATCGATAGACCAGCAGCTGCGCTGGTTTACAATAGGATTGTGCTGCAAAAATCCAGCTGTTTTCTGGTTCACAGGATTACGCGCCTGGCACTGTGCACAAGACATTACGTAGTTAGTGACACTTTCCTTCATGTGCGGCCAGTAGAAGTACGCGTGCATCTTTTTGTACGTTGCTTCAATGCCTTGATGTGCGGCATACTGTGTATCGTGATTTTCGAACAAAAACTTCATTCTCCACTGGTACGGTACATAGAATAGGTAAAAGTCTTTACCGTTCACAGAGTACCGATAGTACACAACGCCCTGTTTCAAAATAAACTTCTTCAAGTACCGGCGCTGGAACGGCTTCATATCCTGTGTAGGATCAGTGAGCAGTGATTTCCACTGTGCAATTATGCGGTCTTTCGACTGCTCTTCAACCCAAAACTGAGCACGTTGCTCGGGTACAAACTGTACTTCGGTGTTATTTTTTACTTCTTTCCGCTCTGTTTTGTTAAATAGACGGACTTCAGCCCTAAAAGCGTCAATGTACTGTACTTGTTTACAGTTTTCTCGTTTGCGCGCTGCTTCAATCTGTGCAACTGTTTCATCATCCGGCTGATCATCTTCGCGGTAGTCGGGAATTACATCCGACTCATTCGACTCCGGCTCTTTCATGTTACCGGTCTGCCTTGACAAGGCATCGGCTTCCACATTCGCCGCTCCCTTTATGTACTTGGGCACCATATCATAGTCCTGCACGTACAATGCCCATCGACCAATACGCCCGTGCATGTCACGCATATTACGCAGAAACGTTAACGCGGCGTGGTCTGTGTACACTTCGAACTTTTTATACGCCAAGAAATGACGCCATTTTTTCAACGCGCAAATAAGTCCTTACGCTTCCAACTCGAGTGGGAAGTAGATTCTGCGCTGCGTCGGCGTAAGTAGTTTCGACAAATAAGCAATCGGCCGCCAGTGGCCATCAATAAATTGCTTAAGTACTGCACCTACAGCAATTTTCGACGCATCAATCACCATTTGTATCGGCGCCTGGTCATCGAAGCGCGCTAGTATCGGTGCCGAACACAAAGCATCCTTTAGCTGCTGCATAGAGTGCTCCTGTTCTGGTCCCCACTTAAATTCAGCTGATTTTGGAACTAAACGCTGAAGCGGTTCCGCTTTTTCTTGAAATTTTGGAATAAACTGTCGGTAGTAACCGACCATACCGAGGAATCTCTGTATTCCTTTACGGTCTTTTAACGGACCAAACGACTTTACCGCTTCCAGCTTTTCCGGGTCGGTACTGATACCGTTACCATCGACCACGTGACCCAAAAACGATATTTTTTCCATGAAAAACTCGCACTTATCTGGATTAATTGTCCAGCCGCACTCCTGCAAGCGGGCAAGGAGTTCTGCCAAATCACGAAAGTGCTCTTCGATCGTGTCTGAGTAACAGATAATATCATCGATAAATACGAGTACTTTCTTATGTTTTAATTCAGCTAGTGTTAAGTCCATGGCTCTTTGAAATGCGCTTGGCGCATCTTTCATACCAAATGGTAGTACTTTATACTGGTATGTAAATTCTTCGGCTACCATTGTAGCTTTCTTCCGGTCTTCTTCGCGCAGTTTTATCTGCCAAAAACCAGACTTTAGGTCGATTTTTGAAAACACTTTTGCTTTCGCAACTGCGTTTAAAATGTCGTCAATTCTGGGCAGTGGATAACTGCTGCCTTGCAGCTTTTCATTTAATTTTCGGAAATCTACGGTCAGCCGTCGGCTACCGTCTTTCTTTTTAACAATACATATGGGCGATCCCCACGGGGAATTTGTTAATTCAATTATCCCATCACGGACCATTTCCTTGGTTTTCTCTCTCAACCATTTCCTGTCTTCAAAAGACACACGATACGGTGGCTGTCTCACAGGTGCACTCGTACCTGTATCGACCGGGTGCTCATATATGTTGCAGCATCCGACCGGTCTGTCCTTTGTTGGAAATACTTCCTTATAGGTACGAAGTATTTTGTGCAATCGCTCAACATTTTCGAACTTTAAAAGCGGACCCATTTTGATTTTCTTAATTGTTTCCTCTGTCTCCGGTGTAGTACTGACTTCTGCCGTACTAACTTCTGCCTTACGGCATTCACACTGTGCTTTATCACTACAGTACAGTTCATGGTACGCACTGTCAAATTCTTTGTCTGCAGATGTAAGAATTTCATCTACCATTTCCACACTACCAAGGGAAGTATCCCTATCTAACTTCACGCGCTCATTCGACATGTTCATTATACGTACTGTACATGTACCTTTGTTGGACACATCAAGTACGCCATCTTCGATAAACATCTGCGAGTTTTCAGTATATAGGCTACCATCGTAGAAGAATGGCTTCCCACACAACTCTGCGCGCTTATACTGCACGTTATTTGCGCCTTTAATTCTTGTTGTAATTTCCACATAACTTTTCGGTTGTACAGTTACCGATTTATTTGGGAAAATTTCCATACGACGACATTCCAGTTTACGTTTATCTTCATTTTTCACGTTT